GGCCACCCTGGGGGTGGGCTAGGGAAGAAAGTGGCCAGTTGGCGAGTTCGCACTCCGAGCAGCGCAGGTTCCGCCGCCGCGCCCGTCGCGCCCCCCCCGGCCCCCCACACGGCAAACCTGGCTGCGTTGCGCGCGCTGGCTCCCAGACGCCGGCGCGCGCCAGGTCACCCTGAGGGGAGGGGCTTCGGAGGGCAGTGGCCGAGGGTGAAGTAGTAGACGTGGCCGTGCTCGCAAAGGCCATCCAATGATACTTCCAGAGGTCCAAGTGGAGGAAGAGATCCACGCCACTGGCGCAATCAACTTCGGCCGCTGTCACCGCGACGACCTCGGGCACGTCTGGGGTGGTGGGGTTGAGCTCGTCGAAGAGGGTCCTAGAGCTCCCCGGCCTACTTCTGACGTTGTTTCTCGGAAGAAGCTTCCTTGCGGATGCTCGACTCACTGCTGGGGCCCGCTTCTTTCAGTGGTCTCCGAAAGCAGGGCAACCCACGAGGAAGAGCGAGGCCATGATACCACCGTGGCCCAGCAGCCCCAACATCAATTTCGAGCCCGCAGAGTGTTCCCCAAGGGCGGTCATGCCGCTGGCGTAAGGATACCGAGTCTTCGAAGCCCGCTTTGATGACCGCGAAGTCGATTGTAGATCATGAGCTCTTGGTACACGTAGCGGAGCCAGGGGCCGCAATGGTGGTGCCGTTCCGTCCATCGGGGTACCCCGGTGCAGCTAACTGTCGTGGAGACATATTCCAATCACCAACCACGAGCCAAGGGCTGGCAAGTATGGTTAGGAACGCGGTGAGGGCAACAAGCCGCTCGTGCACAGGGCCCACGATGCTATCGTGGGGCTCGGCATCAAATACGGTGACGAACAGGTTGCCCGACTTGCGGTGCCAAGTAAGAATGGCGAGGCCATGGCCAGGATCCAGCCCATACTGCTCGATACTCTGTCGCCGTAGGCCATCACACGCGGAGGATGCCAAACTCCTTCTCGCCAGAACCATCTCGCCTCCAGTAGTGCCCTCAGAAGAGCGTCCCGTGGGGAACACACCGCAGCGTGAAAACCTCCAGTCATCCTTACTGATCTTGAGGAAGGTTCAAAAGCCTTCGCTTTGGAAATGTGTGTCTCCACCATGACCACCACCACTTGGTACTTTTTGCCGTTGGCAACTAGCCAACGCCCGGCCAGGAGGGAAGAAGAAGAGGAGGAAAAGAAGGAGCAGGAGGAGGAGGGAAGAAGAGGAAACAAGATGAGGAGGACAAGCAGGAGGAAATGGAGGAAAAGGAGGAGGAGGAGGAACAGGAGAATGAACAGGAGGAGGAAGAGGAAAAGGAGGAGGAGGAGGTGGAGGAGGAGGTCGAGGAGGAGGTCGAGGAGGAGGAGGAGGAGGGGGAGAGAGGATAGGACCAGAGGAGTGGGGCAGGAACGCAAGGGGGTCCCGAAGCCCCCACCGCCAACGCATGGGCCACCTCGAGCCGAGGCGGCACTGCGATCGATGGCCAAGCTCTCCCGCCGCTGTGCGGGCACCGCCTGCCCTCCTCCTGGCCGTTGCCGCTTCGCTGCACTCGCTGAGGGTGACAAATGACGAACGAACAACACACACACAGACACCCACACACGACAACACACACACACACACACACACACACACACACACACACTCAAACACGCACAGACACACGCACACACACACACACACACACACACGCACGCACACACACGCACACGCACACACACACACACACACACACACACACACACACACACACACACACACACACACACACACACACACACACACACACACACACATAGACACACACACACGCGCGCGCGCGCGTAGGATAGTCGGAGGGTGTAGGACTGGCTGTAAGTAAGGGTGTGCGGGCTGTCGGACACTTGGGGAAGCTCCCGTTCGAACGGGGACCCCGTCCGACAACACGCACCCATAGCCCCCTCCTTCCCCTTATGGGAATGGGTGCGCGTTGTTCGTTCGTCAATAAAGGAGGAGACAACACAACACAACACAACACAACAGCATAAGCACGAGCTTCCGACAGTTCGCGCGGACTTCTTGGATATCCGCTGGACTCCCTCCCTGGCGCGCGCAGCGCGCCAGGGGCGGCGCCTCCAGCGCGAATCCAAGAAATCCGCGCAGAACTCCGACAGTGTATGTTTTATGCTGCTATTGGTGATTCGAAATGAAAGGGGACGGGGAGGGGGGATGGGGAGAAGACTGGGCAGCGCAGCACCCCCGCGCTCCCTCGCTGCCCCCCTCTGCTCGTCCTGGGCGGCGCAGTCGTCCGAGCATTTCCTTTTGGGTGAATCGCGCCGCCCTATACTGCTACTCCCCGGGGTGTATTATGTCTCGGGGTGTATTATGTCCAGGGTCTCACGGAGGATCCGGCTGTGGCGACGAGGGCTCGCCAGCACGAGCAGCGGCATCGGTACATAATTCCTCCCCTGAAGCCTGCGGGGGGGGGGGCGCCCGGGGGCGCCCGCACCCTGAGATCCGACGCGCCGACAAATACGACAACATCGTGAAAAATCACGGCCAGAGCGCCAGACCCTATCTGTCTGCGCCCCTGGTCGAGCCCGATCGATCTCAGGCTGGCGGGGCGCAAAGGGGGGGTAGGGGCAGAGGTGGGGTTGGAGGGAGATCGCTCCAGACGGCCTCTGGGAGAAGGAACTGTGAGCATCCAGCTGACTTCGTCCCAACCCCACCCTAGGAGAACATCCCCTCTGCGACCCCTCCCCTCCTCCTCTTCCTCCTCCTCCTCCTCTTCCTCCTCCTCCTTCTCCTCCTCGCTCTCCTCCTCCTTCTCCTCCTCCTCCTCCTTCTCTTCCTCCTCCTCGTCCTCCTCGTCGTCCTCCTCGTCGTCCTCCTCGTTATCCTCCTCCTGTTCCTCCTCCTCCTGTTCCTCCTCCTCCTCCTCCTCCCCCCCTCCTCCTGCTCCTCCTCCTCCTCCTCCACCTCCTCGCTACCCTCAGTCATCAAATCATCATCAATCATTTCGTTGTTCTTCATCCACCTCCTCCCCTACCCCTTCCACTACCTCCTCCCCCCCCAAACCTTCTCCTCCACCTTCTCCTCTACTCCTCCTCCACCTCCCTGCTCCCCCTCCTCCTCCTCCTCCCTCCCCCCCTCCTCCTCCTCCTCCTCGTCCCAAGTCCTCCTCCTCCTTTCCACCTCCTCCTCCTCCTCCTTCCTCCTATTGCCACCGCCGTCCTGCGGCTCGCTGCCTCCTCCATCCTGCCTCCTCCTCCCCTCTCCTTCTCGCGTCCTCCACCCCCCTGTTCCGAGTCTCTTCCGTTTCCCCTTCCTCCTCCTCCTCCTCCTCCTCCTCCTCCTCCTCTTCCTATTCTTGCGTCTATTAGAATATATTCCTACTCCCCCCTTTCCCCAGCCGATAGCCGCCCCATCCGGGACGCCCCATCCGAACGTGCAAAAAACATACAGTTCAACATGTTTCGTCATGTTTCCTCTCAACATGGACGTCCTGTCGCCCACGTCGATAATCCCTTGTGAAAATACCACAGAGTGCACACGCGCGCGTTCATGTCACAGTTCTATCAAACACACTGTGCTTGCAAGCATTTCAACATACATAAACAACACACTTGGTTTTTCATTACAAATCTTCAGGATTCCTGCCCACGCGCAATTGCTGAAATCATGAGGCAATCATGCGATTTCCATGCTTTCGTGGAAAACCCAGCGATCTCATCACGCCGCGCGGTGCACTCGCGATGCTCTGTCATGCACCCAGGGCGCGAATCCTGTCCAAAAAACACCACGCGGGCGACATGCGCGCGCGACGCCGCGAGCGCATGTCCAAATCCTTCCAGAGTCGTCGCCATCATCGGCACCGTCGCTGGCCTTGCCGTCGTTGTCGCCATCATCGCGGGTCACCGCCCTCCTCATCGTGTCGCCACCGTGGTCGACGTCGTCATGCCATCGCGCCCGCCCGAGTCACCGACCTGCACCGAGGTGCCCGAGCGCTGGCGCGGCCTTTGAGACGCGTTGGGCCAGTTCCCATCGGCCACCGCAATCGTGGCCGCAAGAATTCTGCCATACCAGCTGGCCGATCTGCACGTGCGATGCGTTTTGCCAGCAGAGTTTCATGGGGTTTCCTGGGGCTTCCTGGACCTTCTGGGGCTTCCTGGAGGGGCTCCTGGCGTCTCCAGGGCCTTCCTGGGGCCTCCCGGGGAAAGACTCGCAGGGACCTTCAGGGGACTCCTGGGGCTCCCTGGGGTGTCCTGAAACTTCTTGGGGCTTCCTGGGGCTCTCTCTTGAAGCTTCCTGGGTCCTCTTGGGGCATCCTCGACTCGTGCTGAAATGCCCGCGCAGCCTTTGAGACGAGCTGAGGAGCTCCCATCGGTAACCGCTGTCGCGGCCGCATCAGCTGTACCAAACCAGCTCGCCGATGTGATCTCGGCTCCCAGTTGTGCCAGCACTGTTTCTTATGTTGTGGGAGGGCGGGTGGGAATGGGCATCCCATGCATGTCTCGCTCGAAAAGAAAGACTACAAACAAAAAAAATGAACGAAAGTAGAAAAAAAAACTATAAGAAAAGATTAGAAAGAAAAAATGAAAAGTAACAGAAAACTAAATAAACATCTAAAACAATGAAAAAAAGTCTGCGGAGGGGAACAAAAAAACAAAAACAAAAAAAATAAAGACAAAAATCAAAATAAAAAAAAAACAAAATAAAAAATAAAAAAAAAAAAAAAAAATGACAAAAAAATGAAGTGGGTGGATGATTAAAAAAATAAGAGACAAAAAAAAAATAAACTAACATAAAATAAAAAAACCAAACAAAAAAAAAGAAAATACAAAAAAAACAAAAAAAAATAAACAAAGCTGACAGACCTTGACTCCCAATCCTATCCTACTCCTACTCCTGCTCCTGCTCCTACTCCTCCTCCCCCCCATCCTCCCGCTCCTGCTCCTGCTCCTTCTCCTGCTCCTGCTGCTCCTCCTCGATCAGAGAAAAAGCTTCGCTTTTTGCTGCTGGTGGGTGGCCACTGCGCGACCCCATGCGCCTCAAGTGGGGCCGGGGCCGCCGCGCGCCTCACCGCGCGCCTCGCGCGCGGCCAGCAGCTTGGCGATGGCGGCCTCCTGCCAGCCCACGAGCTCGGAGAGCGCCTGGTCGGGTGCTGTCGGAGTGCCCCTGGCCCAGGGTGCCCCCCAGGACTTCCAGGGAGGCCCCCACGGCCTCCAGGAGCATCCCTCACGAGGCCCAGAGGGCCCCATAGGGGCTCCAAAACGAAGCGGAAAGCTGGGAGCAGCTCGGGCCAGGGGCACCTTCAGCAACCTCCGAGCCTGGGTGACGGCACGCTCGGAGTCCAGCTGGCGCCGGAGCTCGAGGTCGCGGGCCGCGTGCCCCGCGCGCACCTGTCCCAGAGCTCCGGCGACAGAACTGCGTTCGCCAATGCGAGTGGCTCTGCCTCGATCTCTCGGCCCCTGGGGCCCGCTCTCGGTCCCTAGGGATCCGGGGCGAACAAAAACTATCACGGGGGAGGGGTGTCCGGAGCTCTGGGGCCGCGGATTGAAATATTCACATCGAGCATGTCTGGAGTCCTCACAGGTGGGGTCGGAAGATCGCGCTGCATCGTCTCCTCGGCGTGGAGAGACTCCACATCGAGCCGCATTGTCGCATCGCCAATGCCTCGGCGATAAGGCGCGATCCTTCGACACTATCTGCTCGGACCCCACTTGGGAGACCTAGAATGTCTGGAATCGCGGGATGGAGGCAGGCGGTGCGGGGTGGAGGAGGAGGAGGAGGAGGAGGAGGAGGAGGAGGAGAGGAGGATGAGGATGAGACGGCACGACATTCAGCACGAGGCCCAGGCGGGGGGGGAGTAAAGACGGGGCAGGCCGCAGGCCTGCTCAGGAGTGGGGCTTCCAGGACGCCCTCGCGCCTTCCGAGAGGAGTTCTGAGCCTTCTCGGAAGGCGTGGGCTGATGGGCCCACTTTCCATCACCACTACCATAGGTGGAGGAGGAGGAGGAGGAGGAGGAGGAGGAGGAGGAGGAGTACATCCTCATCCTACCTTCTCCCCGTCCTACATACGGTAGTGGTGGTGGAATATTTGCTCATCATGGACGGCACCTCAGTAGGCGCGAGGGCTTCTGAGAAGCCCCGCCGCCTTCTGAGAAGGCCTGCCCCATCTCACTCTCCCCCTGGGCTCGCCGCCGACTCGTCCTCTGAGGGTGCCAGGGCCTGGCAAGGGCGGCGCGGCTGTTCTGGGATGCGTCTGGCCTCCCTGGCACCTTGGCCACCATGGACGCCGTCTCGCGCTCGCAGACGCGCAACCTCTCCTCTGAAAGGGAACGTTGCAGTCGGACCTAGGCCAGAAAAATATCCCTCAAGAGTATGAGACCATCCGTCGGCCAAAATTAGCCTGACGAAGGACCCAACCATGTGCAGGTGTGAATACCGCAGTTGACACTACCAATTTCGGTGGGGCTCCCTATAGGGCCACGAAACGTGTGAAGGGGATGGGTGTGCGGGACGCATGCGGGCGCGGGCACTGGGGCCTTCGGTGGAGCTCCCCATGGAGCCACGAAACGTGTGAGGGGTGTGCCGGAATGGGTGTGGCTGACGCATGCGGGCGCGGGCACTGGGGCCTTCGGTGGAGCTCCCTATGGGACCACGAAACGTTTGAGGGGTGTGCCGAAATGGGTGTGGCTGACGCATGCGGACGCGGGCACTGGGGCCTCCGGTGGAGCTCCCTATGGGGCCACGAAACGTGTGAGGGGTGTGCCGAAATGGGTGTGGTTGACGCATGCGGGCGCGGGCACTGGGGCCTGCGGTGGAGTTCCCTATGGAGCCACGAAACGTGTGAGGGGTGTGCCGAAATGGGTGTGGCTGACGCATGCGGGCGCGGGCACTGGGGCCTTCGGTGGAGCTCTCTATGGAGCCACGAAACGTGTGAGGGGTGTGCCGAAATGGGCGAGGGTGACGCATGCGGGTGCGGGCACTGGGGCCTTCGGTGGAGCTCCCCATGGGCCACGAAACGTGTGAGGGGTGTGCCGAAATGGGTGTGGGTGACGCATGCGGGCGCGGGCACTGGGGCCTTCGGTGGAGCTCCCTATGAGCCACGAAGCGTGTGAGGGGTGTGCCGAAGTGGGTGTGGGTGACGCATGCGGGCGCGGGCACTGGGGCCTTCGGTGGGCTCCCCATGGGGCCAACGACGAGTGATGAGTGTGCCCCGAAATGGGTGTGGCTGACGCATGCGGGCGCGGGCACTGGGGCCTTCGGTGGGGCTCCCTATGGGGCCACAAAACGTGTGAGGGATGTGCCGAAATGGGTGTGGCTGGCGCATGCGGGCGCGGGCACTGGGGCCTTCGGTGGAGCTCCCTATGGAGCCACGAAACGTGTGAGGGGTGTGCCGAAATCGGTGTGGCTGACGCATGCGGGCGCCGGCACTGGGGCCTTCGGTGGAGCTCCCTATGGAGCCACGAAACGTGTGAGGGGTGTGCCGAAATGGGTGTGGCTGACGCATGCGGGCGCGGGCACTGGGGCCTTCGGTGGGGCTCCCTATGGAGCCACGAAACGTGTGAGGGGTGTGCCGAAATGGGTGTGGCTGACGCATGCGGGCGCGGGCACTGGGGCCTTCGGTGGAGCTCCCTATGGAGCCACGAAACGTGTGAGGGGTGTGCCGAAATGGGTGTGGGTGACGCATGCGGGCGCGGGCACTGGGGCCTTCGGTGGAGCTCCCTATGGAGCCACGAAACGTGTGAGGGGTGTGCCGAAATGGGTGTGGGTGACGCATGCGGGCGCGGCACTGGGGCCTTCGGTGGAGCTCCCTATGGAGCCACGAAACGTGTGAGGGGTGTGCCGAAATGGGTGTGGGTGACGCATGCGGGCGCGGGCACTGGGGCCTTCGGTGGAGCTCCCTATGGAGCCACGAAACGTGTGAGGGGTGTGCCGAAATGGGTGTGGGTGACGCATGCGGGCGCGGGCACTGGGGCCTTCGGTGGAGCTCCCTATGGAGCCACGAAACGTGTGAGGGGTGTGCCGAAATGGGTGTGGGTGACGCATGCGGGCGCGGGCACTGGGGCCTTCGGTGGAGCTCCCTATGGAGCCACGAAACGTGTGAGGGGTGTGCCGAAATGGGTGTGGCTGACGCATGCGGGCGCGGGCACTGGGGCCTTCGGTGGAGCTCCCTATGGGGCCACGAATCGTGTGAGGGGTGTGCCGAAATGGGTGTGGGTGACGCATGCGGGCGCGGGCACTGGGGCCTTCGGTGGAGCTCCCTATGGAGCCACGAAACGTGTGAGGGGTGTGCCGAAATGGGTGTGGGTGACGCATGCGGGCGCGGGCACTGGGGCCTTCGGTGGAGCTCCCTATGGAGCCACGAAGCGTGTGAGGGGTGAGCCGAAATGGGTGTGGGGGACGCATGCGGCCGCGGGCACTGGGGCCTTCGGTGGAGCTCCCTATGGAGCCACGAAAGCGTGTGAGGGGTGTGCCGAAATGGGTGTGGGTGACGCATGCGGGCATCGGGCACGTGTGAAGGGGGCCTTCGGTGGACTGGGGCGGTCCCTATGGAGCCACGAAACGTGTGAGGGGTGTGCCGAAATGGGTGTGGCTGACGCATGCGGGCGCGGGCACGAGGGAGGAGGGGGAAGAGGAGGAGAGGAGAGGAACGCGGGGCACCGTCTCTTCAAAACGAGGACCCAACACCACAGGATGGTTGGGAACAAACAGAACATCTAAGGGTGCCCTCCCCTGGATGCACAAGAACATCTAACAAACACGAAGGACACTACTCCGAGTTTCTAAATACGCGTCGGGGGGCGTCACCCCCGCCGACAGCCCCACATCGACCCCCGTCGTAGCGTAGGGTACCCGGAGCACGGTACCCACCCCCGAACCGACCTCGATCTTACACCTCGGTCCACCTGTAGGGCGGGACCAGCTCGGAGGGGGGGGGAGCAGCGACTTGGAATCGGCAGTGCCTCGCCGACAGATCGGCGGTGGGCCACCGATAGCAGATCCGCACTCTCCTGGGAGGGGGTGGGCTATCGTGCCCCTGCTGGCGATTGGGGTCGATGCATCTCGGGATCCACCAAAAAGGGGGGGGGGGCCCTGAGGGGGGGCATGAATTCGATCCGTTGGAGCACCGACCTGCCGCGAACAGATGCCCCCCGCATGCCCGACCTATCCGCAACTATCGGGAGCTGCCGGCGGCTGGGAGGCATCTGTCTTGGGCGGTTCGGTGCAAAAGCCGATCGAACTCACACACACACACACACACACACGGGGCACATCCCCCCTTGGCGGGATCCCGAGCACCCCCCTTTCCCCCCCCCCCGCAACGTTGCCAATTCTTCGGGGAAGGGGCGGTGGGGGGGCGTCCGGCCATGGCTCGGCTCTCCGGAGGCCGCTCGGGACCAAGCGGGCCCCCCTGGAACGCTCTCTGCGAGGCGCAGCCGCTGAAAGGGCGCCCCGAGGCCTGCAGAGCGCTCAGCACCACCGACGAGCACCTCCGAGAACCCCCCGACACCGAATCCCTCTCAACGCTGCCCCTAGGCTGAGAAAGTAAAAGCCTCCTAGATGGGACCCGAATATATATATATATATATATATATATATATATATATAGGGTCGAAGGATTGCACCGCATCGCCGATGCATCGGCGATGCAGCGGCGACGTCGGCGTGGAGAAACTCGGGCCCCACATCGAGCCGCACCGTCGATATATCGGCGATGCGGCGCGATCCTCCGACCCCATCCACTCCCACCCCCTTTTGGGAGCCCTAGTTAGAAAAAGACAAATGTCGCGTTCGACGGAAGAGGCTGGAAAGATGCAGGGCACGGCCGTGCAATAAGCACCCTCAACACACGCGGTAATTTGGATGACCTGATCGTGCAGCCCAACCCCAGAGATCTGAGGTCGTGTTTTTTTTCAATGCGGGATCCCCAGAAGTCTCGACCCATTCCCCAGGACCTGGTTTTCACCCTGAGTCGTTTCTTGACAGTCCCAGGGCCTGGCGAGGGCCCCTAGAGGCCGAAAACTGCGAACACCCTCCGCCTCGACTTTTTCTGTTACGTTGGATCTCTGGGACTCCATCCCCCCAACCCGATAATTGCCTCTGGCCCAGGCTGGTCCTCGTGCTCGGGCCACTCCTCCTGGAGGTCGGCCACCTCCGCGCGCAGGGCCTCCAGCTGGGCCCGCAGCGGCCCGCAGGACGCGGCGCCGCCCGCCTCATCCAGCAACTCCCGCACCTGAGCATCCTTTAACTGACCCCTGTCCCCATGGGCGTGGTCCTCCTACCTCCTCCCTCCTCCTCCTCCTCCTCCTCCTCCTCCTCCTCCTCCTCCTCCTTCCTCCTCCTCCTCCTCTCCCTCCTCCTCCTGCTCCTCCTGCTCCTCCTCCTCCTCCTCCTCCTCCTCCTCCTCCTCCTCCTCCTCCTCCTCCTCCTCCTCCTCCTCCTCCTCCTCCTCCATTCCTTCTCCTTATAGATAACTCCTCCCTGTCGCACCCCGAGGCAAGTTTATAGGGTGGGCCAGGCGTTTCGCCTGAGATTTCCTCACCACTCAGGACTCTGGAGCTTAAAACATGACAACACCTTGACATATGGAGGGCGGGTCGTTTTCAGAATGTGGCTGTCACCTTAGCGCCGCGCACAATTGGTTTTATATATATACAACAGCTTCAAGGACTGATGGCGGGTGGTTTCCAAAATGTGGCTCTCGCCGTAGCGCCGCGCACATTCGTTCTAAACCATTGCAAGAGCTTCACGGATTGAGGGCGGGTGGTTTTCAACATGTGGCTCTCGCCTTAGCGCCGCGCACATTCTTCTAACCAGCTTGCAAGAGCTTCACGGATTGAGGGCGGATGGGTTTCAACATGTGGCTCCAGCCTTAGCGCCGCGCACATTCGTTTTAACGAATTGCAGGAATTTCACGAATTGAGGGCGGCTCCTTTTCAACATGTAGTTCTCGCCTTAGCGCCGCGCACATTGGTAGTTTTTAAATTGACAGGAGTTTCACGGATTCCCATCAGATCAACGTACCAAACATGGCATGCTGGAAGGATTAAGGATTATGCGGGCGCAGCGGTTATTGTCACTCGCTGTGCTGAAGTCCCCAAAACGGTGTTTTGGCTCGATTCTGGATCGTCAAGGCGCAGCAGTCAGGTTGATACGTGGCGTTGAAATCCCTAAAACAATCAGTTGGCACGCTTCGGGGTCTTCAAACTGTCGTCTTCCAGCGAAGCAGTTCCCTCAATGGTAATGAACCGTAGTAGTGGCCTATGAAGAGGGAGCTTGGAAGGAGGGTTAACTCCAACATCGTTGATGGCTCTTGGGTTTCCACTGGTCCTCCTCCTCCTCCTCCTCCTCCTCCGCCTCCCTCCGCCTCCCCCTCCTCCCTCCTCCTCCTCCTCCTCCCCTCCCTCCCTCCCTCCCTCCTCCCTTCCCCTCCTCCCTCCTCCCTCCTCCCCCTCCCTCCTCCCTCCCTCCTCCTCCCTCCTCCCTCCCCCCCCCTCCTCCTCCCCCTCCCCCTCCGCCTCCTCCTCCTCCCGCCTCCTCCTCCTCCTCCTCCACCACCTGCCTCCTCAGCCTCCTCTCCTCCCTACTCCCTCCTTCCTCCCTCCTCCCACCTCCCTCCTCCCTCCTCTCTCATCCCTCCTCCCTCCTCCACTTCCTCCCTCGTCCTCCCCCTCCTTCTCCTCTCCTCCTCCTCCTCCTCAACCTGCTCCAACTCCTCTTCCTCCTCCTCCTCCGCCGCCTCCCCTCCTCCTCCGCCTCCTCCTCTCCTCCTCCTCCTCTCTCCTCCCTCCTCCAACCTCACTCCTCCCTCCTCCCTCCCTCCCCTCCCTCCTCCCTCTCCCTCCTCCCTCCTCCCTCCCGCCACCCTCCGCACCCTCCTCCCGCCTCCTCCTCCCTCTCCCTCCTCTCCTCCCTCCTCCCGCCTCCATCCTCCTCTCCTCCTCCTCCTCCTCCCTCCTCCTCCTCCTCCTCCTCCTCCTCCTCCTCCTCCTCCGCCTCCTCCTCCTCCTCCTCCTGTCCTCCGTCCTCCTCCCTCCTCCTCCTCCTCCTCCTCCCTCCTCCTCCTCCTTCCTCCTCCTCCTCCTCCTCGTCGTCCTCCTCCTCCTCCTCCTCCTCCTCCTCCTCCTCCTCCTCCGCCTCCTCCTCTTCCTCCTCCTCCTCTCCGTCCTCCTCCTCCCTCTCCCCTCCCCCACCCCCCCTCCTCCCTCCTACCCCCTCAGACGGGGATCCAGGCTGCTTCCCTCGGGTTTCGAAGGGGCACGTCCCCAACTGGGTTGCCGAGATGGGCGGGGTCTGGACAGGGAGCCAGCAATCCAGTGCCGTCCGTGAATATGATCCATGCGATGTCCCCGGAAGTCTCGACCCATTCCCCAGGCCCGGTTTTTCATCCTGAATCGTTTTTTGACAGCCCTGGGGCCCAGCGAGGGCCCCTAGAGGCCGAAAATTGCAAACAACCTCCGCTTTGATTTTTTCGTTGCGTTGGATCTCTGGGGATGGGGATGGGAGTCGGGGTCGGTTGGACGATGCTGAGCACCATGGGGATGCGGCGGGCCGCCTCGCGGCCTACGAAGGCCGCGCGGGCGCCCGGGGGCCGCGCCTGCGAGAGCTCCGCCCACCGCGCCTCCTGCGGCGGGAGGGCGCCACCGGCTGAGCACCGCATCGACCACGGGCTTCTGCTCACGGTGCTCCGCGGCGTCGGCCCCAGCGAGACACGCTGTGCACTGCGAGCGGACAGTAGCGTGTCGCACCGCTCCGCGGGGCGCGAGGCTGCGACAGGCTCGGGGACGTTGACACTTGCGGGCCGAAACGTAGATAGCGTGTCGCGCCGAAGCGCGGTGTGCCGGAACCGGCGGAGCGGCACGCTGAGCCAAAGTCCCTGACCGTGCGCCGATCCTGGCCAGGCCCATCCTGGGCCCAGGATCGGTGCATCTGCTGCATACGCTCTTCCCCCCCTTCCGATGTTTCGAATTTCTCAACACGAGGTCCCCAAATATCTGGCCCTGTTCCCCAGGGCCGACTCTTTGCTTTCTGACAGTGCTGGGGCCCAGCAGGGCCCCCCAGATGCCGAAAACGGCATGAAAGCCTCGCCTCGAACTTCTCGAGCCCGAGCCGGAGGAGGTCTGGGCTCTGAACAGTTGGCGCCCCGATCCTGCCCCAGCGCCTCGGCCCGGGCCCGCGAGAGCGCGGCGAGCTCCTCCGCGGGGAGGACCACCTCTGGGAGCCCCGCGGCGGCGGTCGCCCGCCACTGCTGCTCGGCCACCACCTGCCCGGCCGCGGCGCCCGCGGGAGCCTCGGCGCCAGGGCCGATGCTGCCGCACGTGCAGCTGTAGAGGTGGAAGTCTGGCGCGGGCACGGCGTCCCTAGCCTTCGGCGGCCCCAAGAGGCTTCGGTGCCACACAGGGTGACCTCGGAATCCCCCACAGCCATCACCACACGATCCGTCACCGCACGGTGCCTGAGATCCCCGCGACTCTCAACTTTTTCGAGCCGGACGTTTTCGCCTCACTGCGGGCCCCGGGGGCCCCGGTCGTGATTGTCTACGAGGTCTCAACTGTTTCGAGACGTCGGATCTGAGGGGTGTCGGGTTCTCGGCGGCATCGGTGGCCCGAGACATCCTCGGAGAACGGACCCGAGTCCCAAAACCGTGCTGCCACCTCGAACCCCCGCTGACTCACCACACGGTGGGGTCACCGCACCGTGTGGGGCCCCCAGCCTGTGGCGCCGGGGCGTGCCAGAGCGGCACTGACGCAACGTCCAGGCCCTCGGGCGCTTCGGGCTCGCCTCCGTCCGCGGGGTCCAGCACCGAAGCGAAGGCGGCGGGCAGGAGCACCCGGAGCGGCTCCAGCGGCGAGACCGGGCCCAGGTCTAGCACGGTGTTGCGGCAAGTCACGCAAATGGTGGGCACCAGCTTCGGGAGGCCAGCCGGCCACTGCATTGCCTGGCCACTGCTGTGCTTGACAGGGTCAGATCCATCATCTCTCGCAGGGGGCAGCGCCCTCAGCGCTCTCACCAACGATTCAAGTGCTCGAACTACCTCCAATCGCGGCGCCGCCCGCGCACCGTGAACGCATGCCCGCAGCACAGGTTTCCCGTCCAGGCCTGCGCGACTCGACGCCCTCGCAGTGAGCAGCCACGCGGTACTTCCGCCGGTCTCCGTCCAGAACACGGGCCTGGGATCTGGCGCGCGACGGCCGCTTGGCCCTCCCGCCTCGTCCGTGCCGCCCTCGAGATCCTCCCCGCCCGCGAAGCTCAGATCGGCGCTGCCCAACGTTATCCACACTCCAGCAGAGCCGCTGGTGCCAAACGGAGCCCTCGAGCAGTCCTCGCAGTCCTTGACGTCCCTCGGCGAAGCCAGGCCGAGGCTTTCCAAACAGCGCGCCTCCGGAGCCGTGAGGCGGCGCGTGCCCTCCAGCGACGCGTCGAGCGCTCGGGCGCAGAGCAGCAGCGAGGCCGAAGAGCCGCCAACTGGCACTGCGAGCTCCACTTTGGCGGAGGCTATGCACAGGTGCACGGCGGCGCGGCGCGTCATTGGCGAGGGCCCAGTTCCCGCATGTGTGGACAAGCGCGCGGCGGGCTCCAGCGGGCGCCCACGGCGCCCGAAGTCGTCCGCCGCGGCGTCGTCCCCCACCGTGGAGGCGGCGTCGTCCTCCCCCCCCATCCTGCTCGCCAAAGCCTCGGCCCAAGCGTCCTGCTCGTCGGAGCTCCCGGAGCTGCACTGGCCGCCTTCGCGGGAGGCGGGCGCGGCGCCGTCCCCGTGCTCGGACCTCTCGTCCTCCGCGGCTATCTCCTCTGCGGCTGCGGCTGCGTCGGCCTCCTCCGCGCTGAGGGCCAGCGCGGCCTGCAGCGCCGCGTCGTCGTCGAGAAAGGGATGGCATGGCTGCGGTCCAGCACTCTTGCTGCCTCTGAGCACGCTCGCCTTCCGCTCGGCGGCTTGTCGCGCAGCTGCCGCCGCCCTTGCGGCCATCGTGCCGCCCAGCGAGACTTTCTGCCTCGCCACGGCCGCGCCTGCAGCAGCCCTGGTGGCGGCGGCCGAAGCGCTGGCTCGTGCACCTGTCGCAGCGGTAGCGGCCCTCGTCACGCCCTGCGCCGCCATCACCTTGGCCGCACTGGCGCCCTGCGTCGCCATGACGCCACTTCTCTTTGCGGTGCTCATGGCACTTACGGCAGCTCGCTGCGCCATGGCCGAGGCGCTCTCCTTGAGCTGCTCCGGCGATAGCGACGCCGTGCCCGTCGCCTGGGTGGCCCACATCGAGCGCTTCTTGGCAGCGCGTCGCGCCCGAGCTTCCTCCACGGCCTCGGCAAGACTGGGATGACCGCCGTGGAGGTGGACTGCGTCCGGGGGCAGCGCCTCTACAGGAACCTGCGGCGGCGCGGCGGCGTCCAGGCCGAGCGCGGCGAGGGCGGCGAGCTGTGCCTGGCTGCAACGGACCTCTGCGCTCGGCACGTGCACGTCCGCACGCACCTCGCGGGGGAATTCGCTGATGCTCGGCGACCCGCTGCCAAGCAGGTGCCCGACGTCGTGCCACTCCAGCAGTTCCACGACGACGCCGCTGGTGGAGACCGAGGCGCTTTCCTGGTGGCAGGGGGGAGTCGAGGACGACGCGCGGTTGGGCATGGAACGAACCTCCACTGAGCCGATGGTCAGCTGCCTGCGCACCGTCGTCCATGTAGGCGTCTGCTCCCGGGCGGCACCAGGGCGTCGGCTGATTCGGCTGCCAGGACAGGCGCGTGGTCCGAATGCCAGGTCGCAAGCCAGGATCTCCCAGACAGGCAGCGGGGCTGGCTGCGTGGGCGGCTCGGACAGCGGCGAGGCGCTGCCGAGCCCCTCGCTACCGCCAGGTCGGTGTGTGGGCTTGGCGGAGACGACGACGAGCTCGAGTGACTCGAGTGTCACAACCAGGCCGTCCGTGATCACGATCCTCGTGTCCGACAACCTTAGGGGAACAAGCAATGACATAAACATGAAACGCGCTGAGGTCCGCACGTATTTCTCGGAGGATCGGCGCTGGACCCCACTACCTGGCGCGCGGAGCGCGCTAGGGGCGGCGCCAGAGGCGCCGCCAAGGCGATTCGAGAAATCCACGCGGACCAAAGAGTATTGTTTGCTTATGTCATTGCTTACTCCCCTAAACCTGTTGGTCCGCCGGGCATGCTCCTCCCCGTCGACCTTCTCGGCCCTGCCCTCGGTCTTGGCGGTCGCCTCCGCGAGCGCCTCCCGCGACCGCAGAGCCGCAGTCCTCGCCCACTCTGGGTCGTCCTGGCCGTGCACCTGGACCCGGGCGCGACAACTGCCAACGCTGACGCACACGGGGCGCCCGCGCAGCGCCGTCCAAGGCACCTCCACGCGCACGGAGCTGCAGGAGGCAGCCTGCAGCTCGAGCGTGTAAGGGAGGGCGCCCGCCAGGGCCTCGTTGAGCGGCGCAACCTCTTGGCAACATAACTCGTATGACATGAATGTTCGCCTGCGCGTGCCCCAAGCAGTGAACTCTTGGGAGTGCAAGCTGTGTTGTGCAAGCTATGCGCGCCGCAAGCACCGTGCGGCGCAAACCCTGCGATGTGAGCCATGTGCGGTTCAAACGATGCGGTGCCAACCGTGTCGTGAAGGCTATGCGGTGCAAGCTGCGCGGGGCAAGCAAAGTGGCACAGGCTGGAGATGTTAAGCTCTGTGCTGCAAGCAGCGCAGGCCGCGCACGAGGCGCCCACGGCCGCGCACCGGGCGAAGCCTCGGCAGACCCAGCCAGCGCACGGGGAACCCACGAGGCGCCCACGGCCGTCCACCAAGCGCAACGTTGGCAGACCCATCCAGTTACCCGTGAACGCAAGCGGGAATCCCTGGGCTAAGTGGAAACACTGCTTGGGGAACTTGTCCGCCATCGGGGGCGCCCGCCCCAGGGCGGCTGGAGACTCCCGGCTCCTGCGGTGGCACGCCGGGGTGCAGGCTTCCCGCCCGTCCTGGGACAAACGTCCCAAACGTAGGAAAATAGTATTTTTATCGGCGCTTCTTCCGTCGAGCCTCCAGCTCCAGGTCGCGGAGCTCAATCTCTCCGCTCAAAAGGCGCGAGGAGACCTGGTCGGGGTTGAAATCCTTGATGTACTTCCTGAGGTACTTGGCGAGCCGCCTCTTCCCGACCTGGTGCATACGCGCCGCATCCGGGCTGGCGAGCGACGGTGGTCGCGGCAGAGGGGAGCGCTGGGAGAGCGGCAGCCGCGGTCGTTACCTACGGAGAGGCTGCCGGGGGCCGCGGCAGCCACAGCTCGAGCCAAGCGCTGCAGCCCCTGCTTGTCCACACGCGCCGCTGGAGCGGGGTATACCGGCTCCTCCTGCTACTGCTCCTCCTCGCATATCCTCCAGCCAGGACGTCCTGAAGGAGCCCACGCATCCCTTCAAGCTCATCGCGCTCGGGGCGTGCACCGTGCACCATGGGCGCTGAACGGGACCGCCGTCGACTCATGCCGCCTCCTCCTCCTCCGCCTCCTCCTCCATTCCTTTTCCTCATAAATAAATTATCCCTGTCGCATCCCGAGGCCAGTTTTTAGGGCGGGCTGGGCGTTTCTCCCTCAGACTTCCCCACCGTTCATGATCCTGAAGCATAAATTGGCAATAGTTTCACACATGTGGTTTTCAAAATGTTGCTCTCGCCTTAGCGCCGTGCACATTATTTTTAAACATTTGCAAGGGCTTCACGGATTGAGGGCAAATGGTTTTCAACATGTGACTCTCGCCATAGCGCCGCGCGCATTCGTTCCTAAACGTTGCAAGAGCTTCACGGATTGAGGGCGGTTCCTTTTCAGAATGTGGCTCTCGCTCTAGCGCCGCGCACATTCGTTTTAAACTTTGCAAGAGTTCCACGGATTCCCATGATTCGTGTCCTGGAAAGGTTTCGGATTTTGAGGGTGCAGCAGTTACGTTGATTCGCGGTGTTGACATCCCTGGAATGGCGTTCTGGCACGATTCAGGATCGCCAAGACGCAACAGTCAGGTTGATCCGTGGCGCTGGCATCCCGAGAACAATGTTTTGGCATGCTTCAGGGTCCTTCAAACGGTTGTCTTCCAACGAGACACTTCCCTCAGTGGAAATCAACTGATAGGGGCCTAAGAAGAGCAAGTCTGGCAGAAGGGTATGTTCCAACATCGTTGATAGCTCTTGGGTGTCCACTGGTCCTCCTCCTCCTCCTCCTCCTCCTCCTCTTCCCCCCTCTCCTCCCCCCCTCCTCGCTCCCCCCCCTCCCCCTCTCATCGCCCTTCCCCCTCCCCCCCCCCTCCTCCCAGCACGGACTCGATTCGGCGGAGTCTCGGTTCGCCGGGGCTCGGTTCGCCGGGGCTCGGTTCGCCGGGGCTCGGTTCGCCGGGGCTCGGTTCCCGGGGGCTCGGTTCGCCGGGGCTCGGATCGCCTGGCTCGATTCGACCAGCTCGGTTCGCCGAAGCTCGGTTCGCCCGGACTTGATACGCCCGTCGCGTTTCGCCGAGGCTCGTTTCGCTGGAAGGTAGTTTCGCCTTAGTCTCGTTACGCCGGAGTCTCGTTTCGCCGGGGCTCGTTTGGCGGAGGCTCGTTTCGCCTGAGCCCTGTGCCTCGTTTCGCCTGAGTCTCGTTTCGCTGGGGCTCGTTTCGCGGGGGCTCGTTTCGCCAAGGCTCATGTCGCCAGGGCCTCGTACCGTCGGGGCTTGATTTGCCAGGGCTTGCTTCGCCGGGCACTTAAAGGATCCAGAGGGGATGGGGAGCAAGCGTGCGGACCCTATAACGGGCGGGTGGGGTCGGGCAGGCGGACCTTGACGGGCGGGTCGGGTCGGGCGGGACACTCTTGTATGGCGCATTATCGAACTAGCACGCGCGAGCCCTAATAGGCAGGTCGGGTCGGGCGGGCCCTCTAGCGGGCGGGTCGGGTCTGGTCGGGCGGGCGGACCTTAACGGGCGGGTCGGGTCGGGCGGGCGGGACATTCAAGTAGGACGCATCATCGAATTAGCATGTGCGAGCCCTAACGGGCGGGAAGGGTCGGGCGGGCGGACCCTAACGGGCGGGTCGGGTCAGGCGGGCGGACCCTAACGGGCGGGTCGGGTCGGGTGGGCAGGAAATTCAAGTAGGACGCATCATCGAGTTAACATACGCGAGCCCGGGCGGGTCGGGTTGTGCGGGCGGACCCACGGGCAGGTCGGGTCAGGCGGGCGGACCCTAACGGGCGGGTCGGGTCGGGTCAGGCCTCCTCCCTCCCTCCCCCTCCCTCCCCCTTATCGCCCTTCTGGTTCCCCCCTTCTTCCCCTCCTCGCCCCGCCCCCGCCCCGCCCCTCCTCTTGCATAATTTTGAAGAAAATGTGCGCGGTGCGAATGCAAGATGCAAGAACCACATGTTGAAAACCACCCACCCTCACTCCGTAAGCAATTTTGTTAAACGAATGCGCGCAACGCTTAAGCGAGAGCCACATCTTGAAAACCATGCGCCCTCAATCAGCGAAGCGCTTGCTACTTTTTAAAAACGAATGAGCGCGCCGCTAAAGCGAAAGTGAAGTTGTGAACACGGCCAGCCCTTCATCTGTGAAGGCGTTGTCAGTTTTAAGCGTCAGGGTCAAAAGTGGTGAGGAAACCTTAGCGAAACGCCCGGCCCGCCGTTTCGACCAGCCTCGGGGTGCGACAGGGGGAAGTTATTGATAAGGAGAAGAATGTAGGGCACAAAAGACTCGGGAATCGGTCTCGCGCACGGGTCACTGGTCGGGTCGGGGACCTTCACCTTGGATAGCTGCAAGCGCCACCGAGAGAAAGCATTTCCTTGGACTCACACATCTAATAATGGAACGCATTCCCGAGGAATAGAGCAAGATTTGCGATCTGGTGCCAGGTGATTCGCTCTACGCAGCAGCCTGGCGCCAAACGCAACAGATGGAAGTCCAGCTTCTCCTCTCCCGCTTCCACTCCCACTTCCTCTCCCTCCCACTCTCTGTTTCTTTTTTTTGTGTTGTTTTCTCTCTCTCTCTCTCTTTCTCCCTTCCTCTGCATCGCACTCTTCCTCTTCCTCCTCCCCCTCCTCCTCATCCTCCCTTCCTCGTGCTGGGACCTTTTCGTCTTCAGCAGCGCGGGCGGAAAAACAACGGGTGCACGGGCCCCTTTGCAAATCCCCGCTGCCCCGCTTCTGGAGAGGAGCCGTGCCTTCAACAGAAGGCTGCGACAGACAAGGCCGCTCTGACAACACAAGAGCAGGCTTTCACAAGACCGCCGGAAAACACCAGGAGCTACCAAGTGCATGCAGCCCGATGTATGTGTGTGTGCAAGATGGAATCAGAACGCGGGCTGTGCTCCAGGAGCATCGTCAGAGAAAACGTTGTACATGCCGAGGCCTTTGGAGAAAGAGCCCACGACATAGAAACGGTCTTCTTAGAAGACTGCGCCGCCTGGCAAATCGCCAAGCCCAGACGGGACTCGCTACACTACCAGCGTTGCCGGAAGCACGCCGAAACTCACGGTCACATTTCCGACGTATCCGAGGTATGCAAGATCGACCGGTATGCCCGCCTGCGTAAGCTCTTCTCCTTGAGCATCGACAATCGCGCTGGCCTGCGACATTCGGCTCATAACCTCAGACGCGACAACTGGTAACTGGAATTTTGTCGCGAGCAGCCTGCTCGCATGCACTGGAGGTACAGAGCCACCTATGGACCACACAAACGCGGTGGCACCCTCGTCGACCAACCCTTGCATTTGTGAAAAGTCACCGAACCCGAGCGTGTAAGGATATATACCTTCATAACATACTAGGATTCCCCAACGACGGCCAAACAAGTCGAACGTGGTAGACTTGATACTGCCGGCTTCGAAGATTCCTGTTTCAAACACGGGGGCCAAATGGATTTTGTCGTGAACTGCCACGACCGCGCCGTATTGGTCGTAGACCACCTCCGTGATTCTGTGGGAACCGTTATCGAGCTTTGTGAAGATGTTCGTAGCGATTGCAATACGATGCGCCTTTGCCATGCAACTATGGGCCTTCTGCTGAGGAGACGACTCATCAACATCGTCGCACGGTATATTGTCCACTGATGCAATTTGTGGCTCGTAAAAGCCAGTTGGGTATGGCACTCCACTTAGACCATAAGCCTCTGGCAAAACAAACAAATCTACGCCGTTCTGCGCTGCTACAGCCACGGCGGCTTCGTAGACACGAAGGTTGCACATTATCTGGGTTTTGCCACCATTCGTGCACGAAGAGTTAGACCACAATCCCGAATTATGTCCTGATAGCACACCGACGACAACTCCCTCGATGTGTACTGCATTCGACCAGAATGCCCAGATGTGGATGAGCAAAGAAACTCTCTCCTGGACAGCGTACCACATCAATGCCTGGCCCAACGATGCCACAATGCATCAAACGAAACTGATCATAACACTTGGGCCAAACTGGGCATGTACGGAGGAGGGTGCAGATGAGGACGATGCAGAGAATCGGAAGGACAGAATCAGGAGGAGGAGCAGGACGAGTGGGGTAGAGTCCGAGCAAGAGGGTGTTTCACTGAGCTGCGTCGGACTCGTGGAAGACGAAGCCAGGACGAGGATAAAACCTGGTGAGGATAAATCGAGAATCTCTGAGACCTGGCGGTTCTGGAGAATGCCTCGGGCGCCGCGGCCTTCTTAGAGCGTTCCGAACCCTCTGAGAGCGTTTCGGGACGCTCTGGAACGGATTCGTCCTCGCCCTGGCCCCGTGTGAAAGCCACTCGTATGGGATCTCGGATGGACTCCTCGGGCCCCAGATCAACGCCCTCGCGTTCGCCGTGAGCCACCACGTGCGGCAGGGGCTCCGGCGGTCAGGGCTGCGGGGCCAGGGCCCGCTGTTGGACGTTCAGATCGTGTGTATGCGTGCGCGGGCGTCCGCAAGTATATCGCCCAGTGGTAACGTAAAGCAGAAGCAGCTCACACACATGCGTATATATACATATACATATACATATACAGATGTATAACTAGAACCACGCGCGCGTTTCGCGCGCGCTTGGGTTCTAGCATGCTCTACTTGTAGTCTACAGCGTTCGGCAACGGAGGACATATATTGTCACACGGATCGTGCCCCTTCCTGCCGCCACAGAGATAGGCTTGGCTCAGCGTCCCCCGCCCATGTCAGCACACCCCACCTACGCCACCAGAGACAAGGCTCGCATAGTGACATGCCCCTCACGCGGATCGTGCCCCGCAACTAATTACATTTGTGGTACCAAAGGGAAGCGTCATAGCGTTGCCCAGCTCACTTCGGCACACCTCTCGCACGGATCCTGGCCCGCAAGGAGTT